AACTAATCTCTGCCATAATACATATAGAAAACTTGCTTAAACAACAACCCACCATGGTTATGCAATGATGAGTCATAATGCTGTTACTGAATGGTTAAAATTGCTTTTTCTATTGCGCTTGTTACCTTGATCCCTTTCTTACTCCCATTTTTTTCTGCTGACATCCTTCAGACTGCAGATTCTTTTAAGCAGGGTATGTCATTCACTTCATGACTGTACAATGCTTAGTACAACGGGGCCTCAAAGTTGTCTCTTTTAGTTGGTTTTTTGCAAAATATACTAAACTGTAACACACCAGAACATCCCACAGATTTGGGAAAGTTTGGCTTTGGTTGAGGGGTCTATGTGTTTGTTTGATCACTGTGCTAAGGTCCGCAGCTGCCCTTTTGGAAACAGTTTGCATGTTGCCAAAAGTTTTCCAAAGAGTAGCCACAAAAAGCCAATCAGTCCTCTAAACATACAAACTCATGCTGCTTTCTCTTAACAAAGCAACAACAGAAAAGCAAACATTTAGGCAAGTATCATGAAAATGTTAGTGCAAATGTGTGCTTTTTTTTTTTTTTGTGGTTGTGTGATTTTTATGGTTTTTTGTTTGTTTGCTTGATAAAGTACCTGATACAACTGTTTCCCTGGTCTAAGAATGCCAAAATCTAGGTTTCTGCAAAGCTAAGGTCTGTTTTTAAAAAACTCTTTCATCCAGCTGTTGATTGGATTAGCATCCTGGAAACCTGTTAATGTCCAGCTGGGTGCTGCGATTAAGCTTGCCAAAGTCATGTTAAGGGTAAAGAGAAGACTGGTTTTCTATATAATCTCCTTTTTAATCACATTGCCACCCTAAAGCTCCCAGCTGTTCTAAAATTTCACTCCTCCTGCTATATGAATGTCCCCTGCAGATTGTAGATTCTGCTGCAATGCCCAATTTGCTGTAAACCAAAAAATAAAGAAAAATTCTAATCACTATTACTTTTGTTCTTAAATGCAAGCAAAGCATTTCAGTGACTGTTCTGAGTTGTTTGCATTCCCTATATGGTGCCTGTGGGAGAGCAGCTTTACAGCATTTAAGTGGAAATGGGCGTGTGGTGGGCAAAGGGCCAGCCTCCGCTCGTGCCAAGGACTGGAGAGGGCACGAGGACTGACTAGCCTTTGAGCCTGCCAGGCTGTGAAGTGTCCATGGCCCTTACCCAAAGAGTCAAAAATTCCTGCGTCATATCCCCTTAATGAATGCATACTCGCCTTCCTTTTCCAAAATATGTTTCATATTGCACGTACCACAGGTACATGCCAAACAATCAGAATTACTTTGGTATTTCCTTAAAAATACAACCCTTGAGTAATTAATTTTCCAATCTGTACAACACTGTATAGCACTTTTGGAATCAAGCCGTGTTTTGGGCTTTGAAGAACATCTTTCAAAATAATGACATTGCTTAGAGGTCTAGAGAAATCTCCCTAAATAAGAAATTTTCACATTTGCCATCTCTGGCCACTGTGCCAGACTGAGGTACCCATTGTATTGGTGGTGTTTCTCTAATTGTATGGCCCACAGATTGCAGGTTGGTCAGTCTGTGAGGAAACATGACAATCTGTATTCATTGTTAACATGTTATAATTGAAATTTGCCCATGTCAGCAGTTTCACTTCATGCTAGATTTTAATACTTCACATTTTGCTTGTGTTTTGCATCACTTTTAAAGACTTTTAAATTAACTGAAAAATTTACAGAAATAACCTTTCAACATTTTCTTTTCTATTAACTTATTTTTTGGCATTCTAGATGTAGTAGTGCATCAGATACATGGTGTATCATCTCAAATCATGCCCTAACCTAGTGAGACCTAGCTCAGGTCTCACTGTGCTAACAAAGAATAATTAAAAGTATGAAGGCATACAGATCTCTCTCCTTTTGGATTTAAAATTCTCTTCAGCATGAAATAAGTGAAGAGATGAAAAATACATCTGAGAAGAAATCCTAGTATTATAAATGAGGACTGTGTGTGCATTCACATGTACTCCTTTTTTCTTGTAAAAACTTGTATGTTTGCGCACTGTTTCATGTCTTCATTTAATAAATAATGCCATAAAAAGTCCCTACCTGAAGGAACTTGTTTGATAATTCTAACAAGATAATTATTTGAGAATTTTCAGGAGTTTGGAAAGTTATCTGTCCTAATGATATTCAATTCATAACTGGATTACCAAGCTAAAGAAAAACCCTGCGTTCTCAAAGGACCACTTTTATTTTTCATGAGAAAGGCATAATATAAAGTCCAATACTGAATTTGCAAGTATAATGATAGCTGTATTAATCCAGGGAGAATTACAGGAAATCCAGTAACAGACCAAACACATCAGATTTTGCACTATGAACATAACCTTGCAGACAAAATCTGTGCCTAGGCTCCCACTGTACTGACCAAAATTACAGGTAGGTAAAGAAAATTAGCATGAAAAATAAGATCTCTAGAGGCACCACCTCATTTAACTAAGGAATTTCTACCTACAAGTAAAGGAAAATAACAACAAAAATAATCTTTACTGAGCAGTGTTTTTTACCTGGAAGACACGGTCTTAAGAAGATGATATGCCCTTACTACAAAATGTGAGACGTTTGGTCTTGAGGAAAAAGGACCTCGAATATGATCACATGATTTTACACTAAGGGTGTGAAAAGTATGGCTTCATAGTAAAAAAAAAAATACCTTATAGAAGCTACTCTAGTAGAGTAAGTGATAAGATAGTTGGTAAATATTTGTCAAGCATGTCATTAAAACAGGGAATGATTTTTAAAACAAACACATTTTGTAAACCTGCCATGCAAGGAGAAGAAGAAAAGGGAAAAAAGAGTAAATAGATGGGATAATTATTAACCTGAGATATCTCACTTTTCTTAGACAGCTTTCCATGAAAGATGAGGAACTGGGGGCTATAGCAGCATGTATCATTGCAGCTCTCCTATATGCAGTGGAATAAGATGAATACCTGCAGGAACACAAAATTTCAGAAGCGCTTAGGAAAAGTCTCTGCTAGTCTCCAGAGCAAGCCCTGAAACTTAGTGTAACCCAGGGAGGTGGTGCAGTTTCCTTACCTGTAATGAATGGACAATACGCATCCATGTAGCAATATTTTCCTTGAATAGTTGGGGTACTTCCAAGTTAGATTTAAAAAAAAAAAAAAGAAAAAAATAGTGAAACTACAGTGAACTAAGGTTTTTTTTTTTTTTTTTTTTTTTCATATGAAAGTAGTTGAAAGCATTCCTAGTTCTTATAAAAATAGTTGCTAGCTTATAAAATGAATTAATTGTTTAATCCTCCTTTTCTGGATTGCCCTGATGTCAGACTTCCAATTTTTTTCTGTGCTCAGGAATTTACATGACCATGTCGGTCCCAGTGGGGAAATAAAATCAATGTTGAGTTTGATACATGTGATTTGTCAATATAATTAAAATAAATTGAATCATTATTATTTTTTTTGAATGTATGTTGGGTTTGCAGCCAACACGAGACATGACCAGCACTACAAATGATCTCTGCAGTTGGAAAGATGAAATTCCAGTTTTAATAATGCTGACCTAACATCTGGCTTCTCTAGGGCCACAGGAATTACTTTTCTGTGCTTTGTGTCTTTTTTATAGTCTGAGGACCAGTTAGGCAGCATCCCTTCTGGACAGCAGGATGAAGGAGAGTAAAAGTGATGCCGTGCCACTTTGTCAGTGGAAAATGTGATGCATTCACTGTGGAACCACTGTAGAAAGCTAACACCCCCAATGTCAGTTGTGTGATAGCTGTGTCAGGCTTGCTCGTTGTTTTCCTCTTACTTAAAGACAGTGTTGCCTAGGGGTTGATCTGTGACCAGGGGCCCTGCTCTGCTTCAGAGAAGCACCATGGAGCTGCAGAGCTGGGGAAGGGTTTGGAGGTGCCATCATTGCTGCAATGAATGGGTGCTGGGGGACCCCGGAGTGTTGGGGGCTGGGACTCTGTGGGTGTGGCTTTGTCACAGTCTCAGCTTTGGTTACTGCTTGACAATATCAATGGTTTTGACCAATAGTCACTATTGTGTTAACTGTAATAGCCTTTAATGTCTAGGCTAAACTTCTGGCCACTTGTTGCTGCTGTCCTTTGCCACTGTTGCCCCCAGCTCCACTGGTGCAGTCACAGTAAAGGGGAAATTTAAACAATAGGCACCTTTGAAATGTGCTTACAATGACTCTGGGCATTTCCCTAATGGACAAGATCTTTTAAAAATACCAAGGAAAGTTTATTTTATTGTTTTCTTCTGTTGCTTTAGCTCACTTGGCATTTTAGTTTTAGAAGATCACTGTAACAGATGTATTTGGACTCCTGTAAGCCCTTAATTTTCTTAATGTAATTTCCTTGATGTCTGTTCAAGGACAGGTTATTAAACTTTTAGCTGTAACTGATCTTTTTTATTTTTTTATTTTTTTTTGATAAGAATTCTGCATATCTGCCAGGGAATTGTAAATGTTCAGGATAATCATGCCTTAGTCTGTTATTCCCACGTCAGCTTATGAAAGGATGGAAGGTGGCTCTGGAAAGCAGAATGTGGAAATGAAATGTTTCCTTTTGTTTTAGTCCTGTTAGCATCTAATATTTATGCAGTAAGCGGTATGTTGCAGCATCCTTCCTTTTCTCATCTGTCAATGTCAGGAAAATACAAGCAGTGACTAGGGGGTTAAATTCCCGTTCAACAGGCGCATTTGGGGCTTTACGTCTCTGCAAGGGAGCTCGGTGCCTTACAGTGACGGGAAGTGCTGCGTGACAGGAGCAGGGCTTGCAGCAGACACGCATGACAGCAGCGAGACACTGTACCAGCTATTCCAGCTTTGCAGGGACCTCACGTTTTCCAGCTGTTTACCCTTGAGATGTAAAATGGCAATTTGGCATAGGCTACCAGCCTGGTGTGATGTGAGCATCTGCGTAAAAGGCTGCACATATGGAGCATGCCCAGTGCTCTGAACAGCCTGTTACCCCACCCCCAGCCAATCTAGGAAGAGATGAAATGAACTTTGCACTTGCAAATGTCACTGAATACATTTTGCACAGGATTTTAAAAGGTTCTCTTATAAGCACTATTTTTAACAGCCAAATCCGCCCCCCCAAACGCAAAGGAAAAAGCCCTAGGTATTTTTCTGTGGTCGATCTCAGTTATCATCAATTGAAGCCTCTCTCACAACATCTACCTGAAGTCTGGCTTATTTTACCTTTTTATCATTCAAGTCGATTTTTTTTTTTTTTTGGAGGTGGTGTGGATTTTTATTTTTTATCTTTTTTGCCTTTTTACTGGCATGAGAAAATTTGAGAATTTAATTGCACTAGAATACTTGGAAGCAGTGAGGCTGCAAGCTTGAAAGGCAGAGGGAAGAGAAGGAAGGCTCTCACAGCAGAGCATGGATAGGAAAGGAGCCGTGATTCTGCGGTGCTCAGTGTGCACATGTTTTATGAGATCAGTGCCGGGCGCTGCAGCTGCGGACAATAACTGAGCTGTCTGGCTAATGAAGGCCACCTGGATCAGGCTTCTGAAAAGAGCCAAAGGAGGACGTCTGAAGAATTCTGATATCTGTGTAAGCCCTATGTTTTCATTACTGGCATATATTATATGTATTGCAGAGAGGGAGGAAAAAAAAATACGGTGAGGAGAGTGCAGTTGTTTTCTGATTGAATTAGCAGAACTCTGTTTTGTATGCAGGGAGATGCAGGGGGAAATCAGAGCTGTCATTATTTATAGAGCTGTTCTGGCATTGTGACTGCTTCCATTGTGGCGATACGTGGACGTGTGTTGAGTCCAGACAGATTTTATTAGTTGGAAGTTGATTTGTGGTCATTTACATGTTTTGCTGAGGGGCAGAGATGGATATGAGCCATTTGCAGTTCTGATGGGGAAAGTGTGTCAGGTAAAGAGGTTGCCCTAAAATAAAAATGGATAGCAGAGTTTAAATCTGCTAGCAGGGATATTGTGTAATGGTAATTATTGATACTGAAGTTACATCTTGGGTATAAAAATCTGTTTCCTTGCTAATAATGTCATTGCTTAGAGTTTACATCTATATGGAGCCATCCTTGAAGCTGCTGTGTGTCCTTCAGCCCTGCACTGCACCACTGCTGTAACTCTACAAAGCAACTGGCTCTGCTTACTAAAATGCATATGAATAAGAACAGAGGCATAGTGCAGGAAATATAACACTGGGGAAGACACCTGCACTTTTGGAAAGTGTCCAGAAGAAAATATTTACTTAGATGTAATTTTACTAAGTGATTTTCCCTTTTTGGCAGTTATTCTCTTTTCAGGGATACAGTTTTAATAGGAAAGGCAAGGTGCATAGCCACTTGTGCTTTTTTTGAACACTGAAACGACTTGTGACATTATTTTTCCTTTCATTGTGCAGGGTTCGGCGGACTCCTACACCAGCCGTCCATCCGATTCAGATGTATCTCTGGAAGAAGACAGGGAAGCAGTGCGGAGAGAGGCAGAGCGACAGGCCCAGGCACAGCTGGAAAAAGCAAAGGTAAGGTGTTATTTCCCCTTATAAAATTCATAAAGAATAAGATTCATAAAATGTTCTGCTTTAAAGAGCTGTCATCTCATCCATTATTGGTACAAATGTTTATAATGTGTTAACATACACTGTAAGACCTGTTATAAAGATTTTCCAGACAACAGTAGGAATTATATTTTTTTAGGAAAAATCACTTAGAATCTGAATTTGCCCTAAAAGGCATTCAGTTACTATAATCAGTAAGAACAATCTTATTTAAATGTGTACACGTTTTTTTCTGAATATACTTATTAATTTTTAATGCATGTGCTCAAAGCTTAGAGTTTTTACTGAAGATGCTCATGCAAGTTTGCCTGTGGATCCCTATGACACTTAAAACTTAGAGTTCTAGAAATCAGCCCTCAAACATCCTGTTCACTTGAGCAAAGGATTGGTCCCTAAAAGTCATATGTAAATAGAGTCTGTTGGAAAGATTTTTTTATTTTTTTTCTGAAGACTTCACTGGCTTGCTTTACAGTTTGAGTGTTAAATGACCCTGTGAGTAATATGCTCTAGGACTTGTTAAGATTTCTGCTTCTAACTCCATACTCCTGGCAGATAGTGACAGATTAGTAAGAAAATGCTAAATGTGCTTCAGGTTCTTTCTGTGTGTTTAGTTAGGACTGTAAGGCTTTTAGCAGTAATACGATGAAAGAGCATGGGCTTGTCTTTCTCTCATATGTACTATATATTTAAATATTATTGCACCTGTAAAAATGGGGCTCATCTTGTTTGTTATTATTCATTTATCACTTCATTCTGATCTTTCCTTTTGTGTGCTGCCAGTCAAATCTTGCTGCATTGCTGTTTTCCAAGATCTGTTTTTCAATATCATTTCTCATATTTATATACTAAAATGCACTATTGAGATTCCTCCTCAGATGTACCTTTTTTTCCTCTTGTGTTCTCTGTGTTTCTCTCCGATTCCCCTCCTCCATTTTGCCTCGTTTTTTATTTCCTTATCTCTGATCTATCTCCCATTCTGTTTCCTTTTCCGCTGCCAGCTTTGCCTCTGCCCATTTACGCCACCTGTTTTACAAGGTTTCCTCATAAATTCAGAAGTCCACATCACTGAGGTATTCATCTGATTGTTTAGCGAGGGCCAGCTCCATAAATAAAACAGTAGTGTAATCCACAAGCAGACAACTTGAATAGGGAAGCTGAAGATGTTTTTTGGAAAACGTAGTTGATGACCTATATTTGATAAGAGTTCCTAATGCAGCTTTTTGATGTGCTGCTGGAACTTGCCAACCACAGGAGATGCTGAACATCTCTTTGAAGTCGGGTCCTGCTGCCCTGGAATTGGTACAGCAGAAATGCCCCAAAATCAGCCTGTTACTTCCCTTTCCACCTTGTATCCCACAGCTATTGCTAATTGCAATCAGGATTGCTTTTAGTTAGTTTAATTTTTTTTCCTGTTAGGAAAAATGATAAAGACTGCTCTGAAATTTGGGTTAAATGTGGAATTTTATCAGTAAATGCACAATCTTTAAAAGAAGAGTTGAAGTAATAATATCCTGCAGACTAATCAGGGTAGCACTACAGCACTTACTGCTGAACTGATGCATCTCAGTGATGAGTAAATCTATGCGAGTGTTGCTATGGGAATTTGGCTTACTGATGCTGGCTTGAATGCATGGACAGCCCTTATGTAATATTCATGACCTCTAGCACAGCTGCCATTGTAGTTCATAGAGAAAAATGCTACCAGATCCTGAGTTTTTAAAACTGTATTTCTATACATCAAGGCAATGTTCTCACTCCAGCTGGCATAAGATACAGTCTCTAGGTCTAACACCGTCTGAGACTATAAGACAACTTGTGAACAGTCAAAGTAGCAAAGGCAACTGCCAAAATGAGCCTGCTATAACAATGGGTAGTTCTAGCAGTATATAAAACACAAAATGAATAATTTAAAACTCTTGTGTTTTGAAATAGATTAAAGCTCAAACTGTATGAGCAGTTTTGTTCCTTAAGCCAAGTGTTAAAAAATAAAATAAAAACATTTCAGGCTATAATGCATGGAAATAATTTTATTTAATGGCTATTGCCATGCAAAATATAGTGTAAATACTAATATTTAATAATATTAAATGAAATGTTACACCTATTTGTCAGTTTCATTTGAAATAAATGTTTTAAAAGACTTAAATTAAACCTAACCCAGTAGCTCTGAAATATTATAGGGTGTGCTTTTCTGTCTTTGCTGGTGATTCAATTCTTCACCTCCCTGAAACACAGTGAAATCAATGGAGCAGTAACTTCTGCTGGCGCTGCCTGGCTCCTGCGTGCACCCAGACTTGTTCCCCGCAGGCAGCGGCTCCCTGGCTGCCTCGCCATCACCAGCACCAGCTATCAGGCAGAGCCAAGTGACACAGCTGCTTTAACTTTTCACCTTTTAATACTATGAGTGGAAGTGTTGATCCTAAATAAAGTCATTATAATTCTGTTTGTCACAGGAATTAGAAAAGGCTGACATACATGAATAATGCAGCAGTGGAGAGAAAATGATAGTGAATTAAGGGTAGATTAAAAAAAAAAAACCTGTTGAACTGTGTCACGCACTCGGTGAAAACACTTTAATGACATCCATTTTCCTTTCTTACAGCTAGGGAAAACACCTAAACTGTAGAGGAAAACTATACTAATAAAGCACACAATGGCAAATTGTTAGGCAGATTGTAGGGTTTTTAATTTTGGCTTTTTCTGTATTCTAATATCACATCCAATATGTACCCAGATAGGGTAATAAATAAAACAAATAAAAACTAAAAAGACTGTAAGAAAATACGCCTTCTGGCACCTGGATTTTTAAAAGCATTGCTTCTCTAGAAAATGGTTAAGCAGATTTTGCTGACTCACTTTGGCATGAGATTTACTGTAAGGAAGCGGGGGGCACGATGCATCTACGGAATCATCCAGGGATGGAAAATGAAGAGGCAACAGATGAGGGTACCTGTGGGCCAGCAGCTATTCCCAGGGGAAACAATTCTCCAAATGAAGCTGTTAAGCCTGAAGATAAAACGTTGTTGGTTAGAACAGTTTTACAATGCAAATTCTGAAAGGTGGATTATTATTTATTTATTTTGGTGTGGACTCCAGTCTGTATCGTGAGTGCTAGGTTAAAGTAGATCTGTGCTGTGGCTGATGACGGCACCCTAACGATGCTGTGATCTAAGGACTTCTTCTGATGCTCTTTCCAAATTTCATGCTTACATAAAAATTAGGATCTTATGCATTGCTAAGTCAAAAAATAAGTTAGCCTGATGACGCTACTTGCTTTTTAGTGATTATATTTTTTAAAATGGTCATTTCTACAGTCAGTAATTGTGTCCAGAATAGGAAATCTCAGTTCCTTTCAACTCTGCTTTGTTTGCAAGCCACCAACTACTCTACTGCCGGCATCCTTTTAGGAGTTTGTAAAAACTTGAAATATACATAATCCTGGTTTAAAAGTTAATTTTGATCATTTTTACACTAGGACTGTGAACCACTAAAATTTTGGTACCAGGTATCCCTTTGCTGACTTTTAGGCAAAAATACAGAGCAACAATGAAAGCTGACGTGTTGCTTTCTTGATGTGTGCTGTATTAGTTGTGAGGGCTTGTGACTGTAATAGTGCAACATCTTAATGTGCGACACATTGCCCCATGCATGGTTTGGGGACCATTGCTTTGAAATATCTAGCAGGCTGGGATAATGCCTACATATCCCTGCAAGGCTGAAGGCATGAAAAAGATTGTCAGATGTAATTATCCAGTGCAGTGTGCCAAGACTAGTTATTTAAGTATTTATTCACTCTCAGGCAGGTTTCACAGCCTCTGAATGACCCCACGCTGCTAGCAGGCAGCTGCAAAGCTAGTTAAGGTATGTCTACTTAAGCTGCAGTAGCACTTTTGACAGACCAGAAGTGCCCATCATCTTGATGTGTGTCCTTATATTATGTCAGCATGTTACAGCATGGAGACCCTTTCCATTCTCTCTTAATTATGAGGACGCTGTGGTGCTGAACAGCATCCAAAGCCATAGCAACATAGGGTAGTGCTTTGTGTCAGCTGTTGTGTATGGTAATATTTCTTCATTGATTTCTTCTCATTTGCCATTTTGTTTTAGAATACTTCCACTGCATGTTATCATTTAGACAGCTAATGTTGCGTATCAGAGTAGCTGGGATTACATGTGAGCTGGCACAGTAGTCTAGCTGGGAATAAATGAGTTGTTGATCTAAAAGTACAGTTGCAAATCTGGTTGTTGCTTAGCTGGGGGCGAGTTCTGCATTGCTGGATCAATTTTATTTTTTTCTTCTTCATTTTCTTCAGTCATTTCTGCTACTTTTTCTTAAGATTGTGACACTGGGGCATCAAGCGGTTCTCTTTACACTGCTGTCTGTGACCTATAGTTTTCTTTTTGTCTCTGTTCCTGACCTATTTTTTTCTTCAACTTCAGTGCATAAGCTTGTTTTACATTAGTGCCTGTCATTGTGGGGATTATTTCCCTGAACGTTTTATCCATTCTCACCGTTTGACTGCATTGTTTTGGGGACTAGAATAGTTTCTTTCAGTAGGGTCTCATGTAACCTGGAACCAAGTGCTCCAGAAATAGTACCGTCTCTAAAAAACATCTGTCACATCCCATTCATACTGTGATTACAGAGTGATCGAATCTGTTTCATAAGTATCCTTTCCTCTTCTGCTTCTTGAGGCTGAGTAGGGAAAAAAGTGCGGTGATACATTAATGCAGCCTAAATTTAGATACCTAACTTGAGATAGATCTTTTAGTATCCTGCAGCTCCTTGAATAATCAACAGAAAGAGATGGATTGTCTCTGAGGAACAGAGACAGTTCTAAGAAAGTCCTGAGACAAGTATAGCTCATAGCTCTCTGCCAGCAGTTCACCTGCTTTCGCACACTCCTGCTCTCTTAAGTAAGGATGCTTGGACCAGCCCTTGGTGTGGTTCAAGTGGCTGTGAC